TCAACCTTGCGGGACCCAGCAAGGATCAGCACACGCAGGGTGGGGAAGAGTGAAGCACTCCTTCTCCTTCCCCATCTAACCACATGGCCATCAAGAGGGAGAGTTGCTGTCCTGTCCCCTTTCTGAGGTTCCATTTGTCATCTGTTACCGCTACATAATAAAAACAATACTGAGTAAATATCCCTATAAGGGAATTGCCGCCTCTCCTTGATCTAGCTATCCAAACACTTTAACCCACAAAAATGAGGCCTGTAAATTTTTTTTTTGAGAGTCCAGAGGATATCCGATCAATGCAGATCCTTCAATAGTGTAAGGTCAGTACATTTCCAGGGGAAATATTCCTTAATGAGCAGACTTCTGTAGGATCATTCCTACAGAATGATTCCTACATAATGCAGGATCATCGTGATTGTAAGGTTCATGCTGCATGACAGAAATAGGGCCATTATTGGCCAAGGGCTATTAGTATATAGTCCCCTAGGCTGGAACGATAGTACAGCGGGTAGGGCGTTTGCCTTGCATGCAACCTCCCCGGGTTCGATCCCCAGCATTCCGTATGGTCCCCCGAGTACCTCCAGGTGTAATTCCTGAGTGCAGAGCCAGGAGTAACATCTGAGCATCACCAGGTTTGGCCATCCTCCAAAAAGATACTTTAGTATATAGTCCCCTTCCATTCAGAGATTTGAACTATCATTTATACATTTCTCACTGATAGTAAGAAAATCAAATTTATTTTCTCTTCGAACCACAGTATCCTATTCACTGAAACCCCATTTTGGACATATTTTAAACGAAGATCATTCTCTGACCTCGCCCCCAAACATAGCTACTACCCCTTGACTTGGGGGCTACACTCCTACATGCCTTGGAAGGGGCTGAAAACCTGAGGCTTCAGAAGGGGGACCACATAACCCCTAGCAAAGAGCACGAGGTCATGGGTACGGGAAAGCCCACCATTTGGGGGGAAGAAAGCCTAAACTAGAAGGACATCCAGGTGTAGGAAAAATTCCTTGGTGATCCCAAACTGAGTGCAAAATGATCCATTATTCTCAAGTGGCAGGAAGTCCCAACCTTAAAGGAACTGCAGGATAAAAGGCAGAGAAGAACAAGTCAGGAGATTCCATTGGGATGGAAAGATGCAGGGCCATGGCCCGGAGATTGGCCATTCTGGCTGCACCCCCCTATTTGGGCATTGGGGTCTGGACTGGGCCAGCTCAAAGAGCCCAGCGGGCTGGCCTCGGCGCTCACTCTTGGCAGAGGGACAGGAAGACACAGGGCGGAAGGGGAGGCAGCACCTAGAATTCCACAGAGGGAAGGGTGTCCGGGCTCCCTCTTGAAGCTAAAGAAGGCACAGATCCCATAACTCCTGTCTTGCAGCATGAAATCACAATATCCAGATAACTTACAGCAATCAAAGAAAGATGTGATAGGGGGCTGTCGCGGCAGAAATACATGCTTGTTACCGTGTTACATATGATTCTCCATCTCAACGTAGTCTCTGATTAAGTTATGCATCTGGGATCTACTTACCATCACTTAATTAGTAATCTATCATTAACCTTTGATTTATGAGAGTTCTACAAAATTGTTTGGCAGGCGTTTGACAGCTACAATCCCCTCAGTGTCGGGGAGAGGGTGAAGCTGAGAGATAAGAGAGCAACTTGTTCTAACACTGGCGCGTCCCCCCTCAAAACCAACATACGCCCCCCCCATCCTTCCTACTGCCGCCAGGCGTGAGGTCCAAGGGGCCTTTTGTTCAATTAATGCCATCCCCAAGACCAGTGGAAGCCATTGGTTTTTTTTTTTTTGGTCACGAGACTATTTCCGAAGTGATCTACATTTATTACAAACCTGTCATAAATAAAATAGAGCCACCTACATTCAGGTGGCATAGCATGCTGCTTCTTCAGCGGCCAGTGAGATGCTGAGGAAAAACGTACCATACATCATGTAAGACTAACAGAAGGCTGGCTGGCAGAGCTCGAGAGAAAATGGGACAAACCTCCCTTCTTAAATGATCATCTCAGCAGAATTTCCACTCCACTCTTGGCGAGGAGTATAAATGTACCATGGAATAAAGAAATGACTCTATCACTGACTCGGCAGTATCTCCTGGCTCCTGCCTGCCTGACCTAAAAGGTGAGTCTCGGGATGCACTACAGGGATTTCCCTGGTGCCCACAACAAAAGCCAGAAATCCCGGGAGCCAAGTGCAAACACACAATTCACTAAAGACACAAAAGTGACGTATTTCAGGAGGAAGAGGCTATACGGGATGTAGGGGCTGGAGGTTCCCCTCAGAGAGTGTGCGCCCTCTCCGTTGAACTCTGACAGGAAGACCCCTAGAGCATCCAAGGCTCCTTTCTAGGATGGCTGCACAGAATGGGCGTACAGGGCCGAATACGTGGGGCCTCCTTTGAACCCCACCCTTCTCCTTTCTCTTTCCTACCTCCCTCTTCTCCAGGCCCCTCTCGCCTCAGTCCTCACTTCGCCAGAGGACTGCCCCTCCCTCCCCTCTGCAGACTCCCCCTTCAGCTGTGCCTCCAGCAAGAGCCCCAGAGTGGGTAAGAGGGGCACCTGCAGGAATAGAGCTGGCCCCGCCCCCTGACTCAGGTCACGCGACCCGAGGTAGCCCCTCCCCCATTCAGGAATCCACTGCCACTTCCTATCTGGTCTCCGTAGTGGAGTCATTATTTCATTTATTCATTCATTCATTCATTCATTTATTTTTGGCTTTTTGGGTCACATCTAGCGATGCTCAGAGGTCACTCCTGGTTCTGCACTCAGGAACCACTCCTGGCAGTGCACCGGGGGACCCTATGGGATGTTGGGGATTGAACCCAGGTCGGCCGCATGCAAGGCAAACGCCCTCCCCGCTGTGCTCTCGCTCCCACCCCGCAGTGGACTCTTTCATGGGCAGGGCTGTCTGCCTCCTCCCTAGCTTCTGCCCTGGCCACGCCCCCTCTCCGTGCACCTGCGCTGGCACTCCAGCCCCCACCTGCCTCCTTCCCCTCTGGCCACCCCGACTCTTCCACACCCCCATCCCGGCATGCACATCTGGCCTCCCCAGCAGAGTTGGCCCGAGAATGCCACGGATCCTGGACCTTTGCGGTGGCGGGCAGAAGAGCTCAAGCAACACGGCCTGCTGACACCTCCGCTTCACCACCGACTTAGGAGGTGACCTTGGGAGTCCATGAGCCTTTCCCAGCGCCCTGCAACAGGGAAACTGAGTCTAGTAAATGACCTTTCCAAAGATTGGGGCTTCTCCGTTCTTTATCAGTTTTAGTTCATTCGTCTGAAAAAGGAGAACGATAGCATCTGATCTGAGGGTTGTAATATGGATGAAGTGGGGTCACATATATGTAACATACAGACACACAGATGAGTATGTATATAAAACACTATTGCTATCACAATTCCTATGCAGATCTTTTGAGCAGGATAGTTGGAAAAATTTTCAAAGATCAGAATATATTTAAAAGCACGCAAATGATCAGCTAAATCCTTGTGAACAAACTTATCTAAGAAGCCCTTTCTAGCGGGCTGGAGCAATACACAGTGGGTAGGACCCAGATTCGATCCCCAGTACCCCATATGGTCTCTCAAGCCCCGCCAGGAGTGATCCCTGAGTCCAGTCAGGATTAAGTCCTGAACACTGCCATGTGGACCCTCCCTCCCCCACCCCCTTCCACACACACACAAAGATCTCTTTGGGCAACTGAGCATAACACAGAACCTCTTACAGATTTTCCGTGTTGGGAGACATGTTGGAACTCTCGCGGCTGTGGTCTGGAAACAGCAGAACTTCCCACAGTGAGACAATGATAGCTATGCGGCCAGCACGGGAAAGAACCCATCACGAGTACGCAGACCCCGACAAGGACTTAAGCAAGTGAAATCTGACATTAAAACTATCATAAACACTGTTCTTGTTTTGTTTTGTTTTTTTTTTGGTTTTGTTGTTGTTTCTGTTTGCTTTGCTTGTTTAGTAGAAATGTTTCTTGGACATTCCTATAGAATTTAATTTCGCTTTCTGCAGAAAACTTCGCAGCCATCAACTGATCTTTCGATACTTACTCCACACACACTGAAGCACAAAGCTCTTGGGGCACAGAATGAACCATGTTTTTTTGCAGCCACTGAGAGCCCCTGCCGTGTGACCGTATGATGACAAGGCTAGACCAAGAGAAGCTGGCCCTGTCTGCAGAGTGGACACAGGCCCACCTCCAAGTGGCATTGGTCTCGCGAGCCTGGTTATCTCACGCCTGCATGCCTGTGGTACTAGCTCTCCAAACCCCAGGTCAGAGCCGAGCTTGGGGAATTAGCGGCGTAGGGGCTGGTTCCATCACGGCTGTCCCAGTGCCACTTCTGAGCACTTGCTTCCCTCTGCAAGAAGCAGCGGATTTTGTTTTGTTCTGGTGCACTTTTATAGCTCTCCAACTTAAACGGAAAGTAAGTCGCAGGCCCCAAATTATTAACAGTTCACATGAACCAGAACACCACAATTATCATAATCCAGGCTTAGTGTTTTTAAACATAGATCTCAAGTTCTCAAAGACCAGAACTTCTATAAACAGTTATCCAGGACTCACTTGAAGATGAGCAATTTGGACATTTAAAAAAAAAAATCATTTGACCCACGTGGCAGAAGAATAAGCCCCCAAATGTTGCACCAAGTCATCATCGGTGTCACAAATTTTGCTCTCAAGACGCCCAATCCCCTTGGGTCTTTATCAACACAGTATTTAAGGGTGATCGCTCTCATTATGTTAGTACCGTGCTAGGGCAACAAAACAGGAAGTTTCCGACTACGCCGTCAGGTACACAGACATGTGACTGCACCAGAGAGAGGGAGGATGTTCGAGGGGGAATATTGGGGACTTGGAACTCTGCAGAAAACAGACAAACAAGACCACTGCCCTGTCGAGCCCAGCAAATGTCCTAAATGATGTCTGCATGAAAGCTTTCATCACAGAAACTCCTTCCCGGTCTGCATCTTACCTCATCATCCTTATACCAGGACAAGCTCTCAGCTGTCAGGACGAACCAGTACCCCTTTGAGCCTCCTTTCATGATGCCGATGTTGCTGATGGTGAGCCAGCCCTTACGAATCACCTGCAAGAGAGCACAGGGCGGGGCAGACACGCTTAGTAAGGGGAGCAGGGGTGCTACCGCTGAGCAAAGTCAAGAAAGTGAGGTCCAGCCTGCAAGCTGCACAGCCTCCTCGGAGCGCCACCCCTCCTTCAGGCTGGGCTCGCTCTGCCCAGAGCACAGACCACCGGAGAATCATCTCCCCCACGCTACCCAGCCGACCAAACAGAAACCCCCGTCTCAGAGGGATGGCTCAGGCAGCACCGCTGAGGACAGACAGGAACGGAAGGAACGGCCAGCAGGCTTGAGCCAGGCCCATTTATGGGTCTGTGGCCACCCAGGAACAGGCTGAGCTGACGGCAGGGCGAGCAGGGCCTCGCCAGCCCGCTGCCGCTTCTCCCTTTCCGCCTCATGGCCCACTTGTTGGTCTGGTTTGCATCTCTCTCGGATTTCCACCAGCAACTGGCCACCAAATGGTGAAAAGAGGAAACTCAAGCCAACCAATTAGTGCCTTGTTAACAGCTCCGAATCATGCCGTTTAAGAGGGGAAAATGAAACAATAAACTAACATTAAAAAGTCGGGAGTTATTTTTCCCTAGAAGTAAACATGGGCGGAAAGTTCCTGGACATCAGTCCTGGGATAATTTTTTTTTTTTTTTTTTGGATCTCAGGCCAAAAAGCAAAAGCCACAAGAGTAAAAAAAAAAAAAGAGAGACATGAGCGACTATAAGCAACTAAGAAACTTCAAAAACTTCTACACGACCAGGTGACTTGCCAACAAAATTAAAAGACAATGTATTGAATTGAAGCAAATATCTGCAAATCCTGTATATGCTAAGGGGCATGCATATATGTGATTATATGTGAAGATTATATGTGAAGAATGAATAAGTGCAATAGCAAAGTTTAAATCTTATTAAAAGTAGGGCTGGAGTGATAGCACAGCGGGCAGGGCGTTTGCCTTGCACGCGGCCAACCCGGGCTCAATTCCCAGCATCCCATATGGTCCCCTGAGCACCGCCAGGAGTCATTCCTGAGTGCGTGAGCCAGGAGGAACCCCTGTGCATTGCTGGGTGTGACCGAAAAAGCAAAAAAATAAAAATAAAATTAAAAATAAACTAGCTTTGTTTATAAATAAATAAAAAATAAATCTTATTAAAAGAAAAAAAGGCACAAGATCTGAAAAGGTAAAGGTAAAAGGTATTTTTCAAAAAAACAAACGCCACAGAGATGGTGAATAGGTACATGAACAGATGAAGGTGCTCAATACCACTAATCATTAGAGAAACACAAATGTTACATCAGTTAGAAAATGATTCTCAAAAAAGAGAAGAATCAACGTGTGGGCAACACAGGAACAAAGGGGTCCCTTCTGTGCTGTTGGTAAGAAGGTACATTGGCGAACCCCTCTGGAAAAATCTGGAGATGCCTCAAAAATACAAACAAACAACACCAAAACAGAAGTACCACATAATCCAGCAATTCCACTTCTAGGTACCACAGAGGCACCAAACGGAAGTAACACATAATTCAGCACAGAACAGAAATACCACATAAATTCAGTAATTCCACTAGCTGACAACTATGTTCACTGCCTGTTCTTTGCAATGGATAAATACAGAGACAATGGACAACCTAAGTGTCCCTTGATGAGGGAGTAGATGAAGAGACAGTGCAATATTGATCGGTCACTAGCAATAGTGTGCTTGAGGATGGGGCAGCTCAGAGGAGCCTGCAAGAGAAGCATCGAGGTCAGGCTGGGAAGTGGCTCGCTGGCCTATTTGTTTACCCGGAGAAAGACAAACAAGAACCAAATATCTAAGAGCACTGAGTCCAGAAAATGCCAACTGAGGTGAAGGTGTTAAGGGTGAGAGCGGCGGCATAGGGGTACAAAGAGCCCCCTTGAAAAAAAACAGGGGGTGCTAGAGTGATAGCCCAACAGGAAGGGCATTTACCTTGCAAGTGCCCAAGCTGAGTTTGATCCCCAGCATCCTATATGGTCCCCTGAGCACCACCAGGAGTGATTCCTTAGTGCAGAGCCAGGAGTGACCCCTGAGCATCACCAGGTGTGACCCAAAAAAAGCAAAAACAAAACCAAAACACAGTAACAGGGGGCTGGAGCAATAGTATAGTAGGTAGAGCGTTTGCCTTGCATGCGGCCAACCCGGGTTCGATTCCCAGCATCCCATAGGGTCCCCCGAGCACCGCCAGGAATAATTCCTGAGTAACCCGTCATTGCCGGGTATGGTCCAAAAAGCCAAAACACACACACACACACACACACACACCACCACCACCACCACCAACAACAACAACAACAAACCCCACAAAAAAACAGGGACCAGTTAGGGCACATGTCTTATAAGCACCTGCCCTGGATACGATTCCTGGCATCTCGTGGTGCTGAGTTCTGCTGGGTACAGCCTTTGGAGGCTCCCGGTACTGGCTGAGTGGCCCTGGGTCATTCTCGGGTTTGGGCCTTTGTACTGAACGACCAACCCAGCTGACTGAGATGAGAATCCTCGGCGAGGCCCCAGACCTGAGCACCACTTGGGAGTTCCCAGCTCCCCAAAGACATCAAAACAAAACAAGTTCATGACTGCCACCCCAGTCTCCTCTGAGATCCGTGCTGGGCGAGTGGCCTGTAGTGACAAGCGTCTGAGGGCAAGGCGCTGTGCCAGGTGGCCCATCCCTAGGGCCATGGGGATGCCCAGCTGTGCTTCCCATCAGGCTGAGGGCGTGGAGAGCACTGTCACACCTCCTGGTGGCCAGGAGTGCGAGGAGGAACCGTGAGAACAAGCCAAGAGGAAGACTCCTCGAAGGAGTCATCCAAGCACGAGCACACAAAGGACAGGCGTCCAGGAAGCACCAGTCCACGCCCGGAAGTATTAGGACAGATGGGCTCCCTGGCCAGAGGGTGCTGGGGTGACTTTTGTTTGGTTTTTGCATTCTAGAGAAAAGGGGCAGAGCTTCCAATCACTGCCAAGAGGCCAAGTGAGGAAAGCGTTGGACTTTTTCGGGCACTTCAAGGGTAATAACAAAAACTGCTACTTACTAAACACCGCAGTCAGGAAGCGTGCATGGCATGCACCAGGATCTCAGTCCAAACTCTGCATCACAGGGATCCCCCCAAGCACTGCTTGATGGCCCCCAGCTCCACATTGCCACATCTGAGCAATGATCATCCTACCCCACTTAACCAAAGATCAGGAAAGATAAGTCCCACAGACATAGAAGGACTGCACTCATTTGCGGGACATAAAATAACATAATGTGAGACTAACACTCAAGGACAGTACAGACAAGGTCCAGGAAGATTGCTCCATGGTTAGAAGCCTGCCTCACAAGTTGGGGGAGAAGGCAGCTGGGATAGAGAAGGGATCACTAAGTCAATGATGGTTGGAGGGATCGCTCGGGATGGGAGATGTGTGCTGAAAATGAATAAAGGACCAAACGGGATGGCCTCTCAGTATCTGGATTGCAAACCATAATGCCCATAAGTAGAGAGAGAGAGAGAGAGAGAGAGAGAGAGAGAGAGAGAGAGAGAGAGAGAGAGAGAAATTGTCTGCCACAGAGGCAGGGGGTGGGACTGGGATGAATACTAGGGACGGGAAGGATACTGGGGACATTGGTGGTGGAAAATGTGGAGGGATTGTGTTCGATCACTGTATGACTGAAACTCAAACATGGAAGTTTTGTAACTGTAGCTCACAGTGATTCAATAAGAAGAAACAGAAAGATAGGTCCCAGACTCCCCCCTCCACAGAGCACCCCCTAGTAAAATCCATCCTACACCAGACTGTGCAAACAGTACCACCTGCATCATTTCCTATCCTCCTGGAGGGGGCTGGCCCTCTGTTCAGGTGAAGCAAGAGGGGAGGGTGGGATTCCGCCCTGCCCCTCTTCAGCCCCTCCTCACACCGGCAGGCCTTCCTCTGGAAGCATCTGTGATACTTTGTGCCCCTCCTACAGGGCACACTTGAACACCAGAATAAGATTCCGTCTGCTGGGGCTGGAGCAATAGCACAGCGAGTAGGGTGTTTGCCTTGCACGCAGCCGACCCGGGTTCGATTCCCAGCATCCCATATGGTCCCTCAAGCACCGCCAGGAGTAATTCCTGAGTGCATGAGTCAGGAATAACCCCTGTGCATCACTGGGTGTGACCCAAAAAGCCAAAAAAAAAAAAAAAGATTCCATGTGCTGGGCTCAGGGTGGAGCCCCAGTCAGTGACCCAGCACACATGCTAAAAATGGTTTCTAGGGGCTGGAGCGATAGCCCAGTGGGTAGGGCATTTGCCTTGCACGCGGCCAACCCGGGTTCAATTCTCAGCATCCCATATGGTCCCCCAAGCACCGCCAGGAGTAATTCCTGAGTGCAGAGCCAGGAGGAACCCCTGAGCATCGCCGGATGTGACCCAAAAAAGCAAAAAATAAATAAATAATAAAATAAATTAAAAACGGTTTCTAAGGGCAAAGACTGGAACTGGACTAGACAACAGGCAAACTGCGACACCAGTCACTGACTGAAATTAAACTGAGCAGCAACACCCCAGGCAAGCCAGGTCACCAGAGGTCATGCTGTCAAAGAAGCCGCTTCCAGGTTGATGCTCATCTGCCTTAGTTTCCCCACATGCCGTGCTCAGGCCAGGTCCAGGCGGAGCTGGACTTGGGAGTTGGATGGGCGAAGTTTGCCTCCTCCGCCCAACACGTGCTGGCTGAGGGGCCCCGGGCCTGCCTCCATGTCCCTGGCTACAGGATAACAACAGCTTCCAAGAATCTCCATCTCCCAGGAGACTTAGGGACTCAGCGTAGGGAGCCTGAGCGCCGACAGCACAGTGTGGCTGTCATCTGCCAACAGGCCAGGCACTGGAACGTTAATGACAACTGGAAGTGGGCGGCCAGGTGGAGAGTCACACACATTTCCTCACGTCCTGACCGTCTGTCTTCACACTGCCCTGGGTCCCAGTGGCCAGCACGCAGAGATAGCCTGAAACGGATCATTTCCTAACACTCCTGAATGCCAGG